GACTTGTGCGAGTAATTTTTTGGAAAAGGCCGACTCGTTACTCACCCAAAACGAGTAACAAAAACGAGTCGAGCAAATTACTTGACTCGTGAGACAGGCATCAAGGGACGAGAGTCAAGGAACAGACAAGCGCGCAAAAGACAACCGACTTGTGCTGGTTCCAGGATCTCATTTCGTTAATGGGAGAGCAAAGGTGTGTCATTCATTTGCACATCCACCCACACACCTATACCACGCCCATGCCCACGCCACATCCATACCACACCCATACCAAACCTACAACACACCCATACGACAGCCTCACCACAGCCTTACCACGCCCACAAGCCCACCCACACCCCCACCCACACCCACACCCCCACCCCCACCGACACCCACACCCACACCCACACCCACACCCACACCCACGCACGCCCACACCCACACCCCCATCCCACGCACAGGTGCACGAGCTCGCTGGCGCCCACAAAGGATGGAACGGTGCCTTCAATGTAGTTATCCATGATGTCCCACATGTAGAGCTGCTGCAGCGCGCTGACGGTCGATGGGATGGAGCCCGAGAGGCCGTTCTGGTTGAGCAGAAAGTACTTGAGGCCCGCCAGCCGCCCCACCGTGGCTGGGATGGACCCCGTCAGGTTGCACCCGTGCACGTCGCTGAGAGGAGGGGAGGGAAAGGGCGCACCGGGAGGGGACACACGGGGAGGGGACACACGGGGAGGGGACACACGGGGAGGGGACACACGCGGAGGGGACACACGCGGAGGGGACACACGGGGAGGGGACACACGGGGAGGGGACACACGGGGAGGGGACACACGGGGAGGGGACACACGCGGAGGGGACACACGGGGAGGGGACACACGGGGAGGGGACACACGGGGAGGGGACACACGCGGAGGGGACACACGGGGAGGGGACACACGGGGAGGGGACACACGCGGAGGGGACACACGCGGAGGGGACACACGGGGAGGGGACACACGGGGAGGGGACACACGGGGAGGGGACACACGCGGAGGGGACACACGCGGAGGGGACACACGCGGAGGGGACACACGGGGAGGGGACACACGCGGAGGGGACACACGCGGAGGGGACACACGGGGAGGGGACACACGGAGAGGGGACACACGCGGAGGGGACACACGGGGAGGGGACACACGGGGAGGGGACACACGCGGAGGGGACACACGCGGAGGGGACACACGGGGAGGGGACACACGGGGAGGGGACACACGGGGAGGGGACACACGCGGAGGGGACACACGCGGAGGGGACACACGGGGAGGGGACACACGGGGAGGGGACACACGCACACGCGGAGGGGACACACGCGGAGGGGACACACGGGGAGGGGACACACGCGGAGGGGACACACGCGGAGGGGACACACGGGGAGGGGACACACGGGGAGGGGACACACGCGGAGGGGACACACGGGGAGGGGACACACGGGGAGGGGACACACGCGGAGGGGACACACGCGGAGGGGACACACGGGGAGGGGACACACGGGGAGGGGACACACGGGGAGGGGACACACGGGGAGGGGACACACGGGGAGGGGACACACGCGGAGGGGACACACGCGGAGGGGACACACGGGGAGGGGACACACGCGGAGGGGACACACGCGGAGGGGACACACGGGGAGGGGACACACGCGGAGGGGACACACGCGGAGGGGACACACGCGGAGGGGACACACGCGGAGGGGACACACGCGGAGGGGACACACGCGGAGGGGACACACGCGGAGGGGACACACGGGGAGGGGACACACGGGGAGGGGGAGGCATAGGGCGGGCCGGATTGGACATTGTCAGATTGCACCCATGCACTGGGGAAGGGAGGGGGAGGGAAGGGGCGCATGCGGAGGGGAACACGGGGAGGGAGCAGCACAGCATGTATCGAATCGGAGCGCGTTAGACTGCACTTATGCACGTCGCTGAGGGGGCAGAGGGGAGGGCAAGGAAGGTTGGGAGATGGTGAACTGGCGGATGCGTGCGAATGATTATTGCAGGAGCAGTGCAGGTCACTCACAGCAATGCGAGCATGTCACTCACATCAATGTGAGCATGGCACTCACAGCAATGCGAGCATGGCACTCACAGCAATGCGAGCATGTCACTCACAGCAATGCGAGCATGGCACTCACAGCAATGCGAGCATGTCACTCACAGCAATGTGAGCATGGCACTCACAGCAATGTGAGCATGTCACTCACAGCAATGTGAGCATGGCACTCACAGCAATGTGAGCATGGCACTCACAGCAATGTGAGCAGGGCACTCACAGCAATGTGAGCAGGGCGAGGTTGCCAAGGGCGTCATGCAGGCTGCCTGTGAGCTTCGGATTCAGCGCCAGATTGCTGGCAAGGGGTTGGGGGGGAGAGCACAGGGGAAGTGGCAGGGGGGGGCCAGGGGGAAGCAAAGAGCCAGCAGAGGCGAGAGTGAGGGGGAAGGCGAGCGCTTGACGCTACGGGGGTCGTGCCCCCTGGCGATGCGCGCGTGGCGATGCGCGCGTGGCGATGCGCGCGTGGCGATGCGCGCGTGGCGATGCGCGCGTGGCGATGCGCGCGTGGCGATGCGCGCGTGGCGATGCGTGCGTGGCGATGCGCACATGGCGATGCGCGCGTGGTGATGTGCGCGTGGCGATGCGCGCGTGGCGATGCGCGCGTGGCATGCGCAGGTCAGGTGGTACGTGGGGTGGGGGAGAAGGGGGGGAAGGGAAAAGGCATAGCATTCTGATAAATGTATGGACAGAAAGAGGTCGAGCGGTAGAGCGTGCGCGGGGGCGACTCACAGCGAACGCAGCGAGGTGAGCTGGAAAACGGCGGCGGGCAGATCGCCCGTGAGGCCCGCATCCTGCAGATTGCTGGGCAGAGGGGGAGGGGAGCGGAGGGAGGAGTGGACCTTTGAGGCGCCTCACAAAATAACGGCGGGCAGATCGACCGTGAGGCCCGCATCCTGCAGATTGCTGGTGAACGGCGAGAGGGACGGGGAAGGGCGGGAGAAGGGGGGAGGGCGGAGGGGAGGGAAAGGGGGAAGGGGAGGGTGGTGGGGAGACCAGGTGAAAGTGGGAGAATGACTGGAGGAAGATGGGAGACGACGAGTGAGAGTGAGGAAACGAGAGGGAAACGTGGAGTGCATGGGCAAGGCAGACTGGCAACAAACGAGGACGTTGCATCTGCGAACTGAACTGGTAGCTAGCGCTGCCTCGCGCGCGGCGCTTACCATCCCCGATGCTACTGCATGCCTGCCTTGCCTCCGCCTCTCACACCGTCACACACAGGAGTGAAGGCGACCTTCATTCACTCACACCCTCCCTCACTCACACCCTCCCTCACTCACACCCTCCCTCACTCACCCTCCCTCACTCACACCCTCCCTCACTCACACCCCTGCCTCGCCCCTGACGGCCCCAGCGTCACACCGCAAGCAGCATCGCATGGAACTACGGCCCCACCTCACTCACAGCGCAGCCCACTCCCACGCCCACATTTCCCACTCCCCCCACCCCCCCCTTACTCCCCCTGTCCTCCCCGTTTCCCCATCTTCCCCCACCCCGCGGGGCGGGACTCACAGCTCCGTCACCGCGAAGTGCCCCGCCGCTTCGTAGTACATGTCGCACTGCACGCCGGGCCACTTCACACTCGGCACGGTCGGCCCGCACGGGTCGTCGCCCGTCCACGCGTTGAACGGAGGCTGGTCGGGCCGCCCCACTGCCGCCGCCACCTGCCGCAGCACCGCCACTGCGGAACGCGGGGGGTGGGCGGAGGGAGCGGGAGACGAGCGGGGAGGGGGGCGGGGGTGTGCGGTGAGGGGAGCGGTATGCGGTGAGGCGTACATACGCCGGGGAGGCGCAGTGTGGGGGGCAGCGCAGCCATGCCGCATGGCAGTATTGAAGTGCTGGTACGACATGATGGTGCAGTAATATCGTACCGTACGGTGACCGTACGGCGATGCGAGGGGGACGCGCACCGAGTTGACTTTTGAGTCGACTCAAAAGACTTCTGAGTCTCGAGTCGTGACCGCACGGGTGCGACGTGCACTGAATCTAGACAACTCACCTCCGACGGAGGTTACCTAGGGGCACCACCAGACACGAACTTCCCCCAAAGGTACGGCATTGGGCCAAAAATATCCAGTGTTCCCCGTGACACCTTGTCTCCGGATGCATGTACTCCAATCGGATCAGAGACGGAATCGTAAAAACGGTAACCAGATTCCGAGAAAGCTTAGCCAATCGACGCGAGTGTGCGACCAGAAAATTCGGGATTTTCGGCAGCGCGCGCTGTTGGGTGACGTGTCTAGGGAGTGGTGTGTTGGATTGAATGGCCCGGGTGTCATCGATGAGAAAGAGTCGCAAGGTGGAAACGCGTCGCAAGTTGAGAAGGAGGCTTACCCTGAGCGGGATCCGTGGCGGCGAGCACGAATGCTGGCCGCAGGTCAATCAGCGCGAGCAATCCGGCGAGTAATAAAATCCGCCCGGCGAAAAAGGCTTTCTCTGCGCCGCAGGCCATTCGGGTCTAGCAGTATAAGCTGCTCGAGAAGCTTTTGAAAAGAGGGAGAGACGCAAGTGCGAGCCTAGCCTATAGTCCTATGAGATATTCCTGGTGCTGAGCTCGACTGCATTCGAGCCGCTTGTTAGGATCCACGGAACTCTGACGCCAGACGGCAATTGCTGCGGGTGCGCTCTGATGCCGGTAAGACAGCAAAAGGCGCTGCGAGGGACGGATAAGATGGGCTTCTGGCAGCTGGGTGTCAGTGTCATAAACTGCCGAAGACAGTTCAGACACACTGGAAGCAAGGCAATGTGAGAGCAGCAACACAGCAGATAACGTCGTCTCATCTTGTAGAGTGGTTTGCGGCAACGCAAGCGGGAAGGCAGCCTTGCCGTGAATTGAGACCACCAGTCCACCACGCCGAACTCGTCTGCTCATCCGCTGCTTCGGTGTGGTTATCCTGCTACAGCCGGCGGTGGTGACTAGCTAACCGACGCGCCGCGTTGGTGGTTCTAGCTTATCGCGAATTTGACATGTTGTCGGGTCGCTAAGGTCGCAGCTGTTACATCACCAAACACTTGTTCACTCGTCCCTGGGAGCGAACGCCTCGGCCTGGCTGGGCAAAGGATGTGGAGCTCCAGCACTTGGGGGAATAACCATGTTTCTGCACCTGGAGAGCGGGACATGTCACATTTGTGCCTCGTGATTTGTCCAAGCGCCTGAAGTGCTATCCTTACGTGTTGGAACGCCATTGGTTTCTCAGGATTTCGTTCTGGTCGTGATACCCTTTTACAGCTTCTCCGGAAGGAAATGGGTGAGGACTCACTTCTGTATGGAAATAAAAAGTGGTAACATAATTTCCTGGTTGTAATAACTTTTCCTTATTTCTTACCGGAGTTGACTGCTACCAGGGTTGTCGTTATCAAGATTTTTCCGTCTGATTGATCTGAGCAGTCTCATTATACGGAAACGCACAAGGAGGACCTGGAAGAAAAACGTTCAGGCGGTGAATTTACCATGGGCCAGGCGTGCGTGGCAGCATTAGGAATGTTTCCTGTAATTATATTGTTTTCTAAATGTGAGCATAAAATTTATGAATTCATTACGGGAAGCGGAGCTCCTCATCCAGTGTTCTTTCATCTTGAAGGGTCAAGTTCCCGTTGTTCTGCTCTTGACTGCCACCCGGCGTACTTTTATTTGTTGAACGTCCAAACGAAATGCGGCTTGATTTCTGCGAGCCGCTCTTCCCCCCCACCCTCTTCTCCTGCCTTCGTTGTGTGGTCCTTACGACATGTTGCTTCCCTTGCTCGATTCGCCTGGCCTTTCGTACTGTTTCAGAGTAACCACTCACATGGTGGGTGGGATGTTCGCACGAGCCATAGTCGGCGAAATAATTTCTAGTTCGAGCTCGTTTACGTACATGTCAAGAAACACATCTCCTCCCCCTCTCTGATCCTCAAGATCTTCCGATCCTTCTCGACCGCGCTTCGGTTCTTCCGGACCTTTGGTTTCCGGATGGTCACGACCGATCGTGTACCCAGCCCACCCACTCTGTCATCAGCGTAGTTTGGCCCGTTGAACATGTCGCGTCGGTATATATTCGTGTGAATCCTCTCCAAATTCCACCAGAGCCTCTCAATTGTTGCATACTCTCCCCTCAGCCAGCTCTTGTGACGCTTCTTAGTCTTCGCCAATATGGCTCGGGCATGTGAGCTCGTGCTGCTTGCCTCCGTTGCCGTCCTCCTCGCGGGCACAGCGACGGCGTTCACGACGGGGTCGTGCATCAAGGAGGCGGAGCAGCTGGTCCAGCGGCTGGACAAGCAGCCCACATTGTACAGCGACATTTCCACCGAGTTCAAGAAGCTCATCAAGGCTGTCAGTGCGTACACATTCCGAGACTTGTAGTACCCTCTCCCGTTTTTGCTACTATAGATGCGTATCAACGCTGAAATTCGACTCACAGAGTAGTACTCTGACGCACGATTTTCTCCCGGGTTTTTTTTCTTTCGCAGAGGGCGGTTACGATGTCGGCGAATTCTACGACAGCACGCTTCTGCTGCCGACGAACCAGGCGATGAAGGCGGCGAAAGTCAACCCGACCAAGATCAAGAACAACGAGAAGCTCTACCGAATCCACATTTTCGACGGTCAGCTCGACGTCATGGCCGTGGGTGACGTGCAGCTGACCAAACAGCCCGGCGTGAGCGTGAAGGTTGTTAAGTTGGCTCCGAGAGCGTCGCCTATGAAGATGGGCGTTCACCTGGCCAAGTCGAAGAACGTCGTTCCGGTGCTGGCGCATCTGCACACGGGCACGGGCAACTGCTTCGAGGCGTACGGCATCGGCGGCGTGCTGTCCTAGAAGTTGTCGCGGCGCGGCGTAACGGATTCAGTTGAGCGTGAGAGGTTGACGGATTCCGTGCTTTGCAAGTCGTTTACAACCGTTTTTTTATATCGTCCTTTGGCATTTCCCAATTGCTGAGAGGTTTGGAACGCGGCACGGCTTTCCCAAGTGCAAGTGATCATTGCGATAATGTACGGATTCTGATTTGAGTTGCCAGATTCTGGTAATGCACTCACGGCTTAAAACGCAAGCAGCTTGGTGGAAGGAAATGGGCAAAAACGACCCACAAGCATCTAGACAGGAAACACGTTGTGCTGAAGCACTTTGTAAACGCGAGCATTGACACAACAATGAGCGGGGTCAGATTACATGGTCAGATTGCATGGTCAGATTACATGGTCAGATTACATGGTCAGATTACACGGTCAGATTACGTGGCATCATCTCACATGGTCAGATTACGTGACTTGATCTCACATGGTCAGATTACGTGGCACGATCTTACATGGTCGGATTACATGGCATGATCTCACTTGGTCAGATTACGTGGCATGATCTCACATCACATGATCAAATTACGTGGCATGACCTCACATGGTCAGATTACATGACATGATATCACATTGTCAGCTCACGTGGCATGATTTCACATGGTCAGATTACATGGCATGATCTCACATGATCAAATTACGTGGCATGATCTCACATGGTCAGATTACAGTACATGGCATGATCTCTCATGATCAGGTTACATGGCATGATGTCACATGATCAGATTACAGTACATGGCATGATCTCAGGGTGCATTCCGCTGTGGACATGCGTCCCAATCGATGTGTCCCAATCGATTCTACCGCACTGCATCTTATTACACCGAATTACACCCTAGTTTCAAAATTTTCGCTTCTCTGGTTTAGTGCGGTTCGGAGCGGTACACCCGTTCGGGACACATCGATTGGGACGCATGTCCACAGCGGAATGTACCCTCACATGATCAGATTACATGGCATGACCTCACATGATCAGATTACATGGCATGATCTCACATGATCAAATTACGTGGCATGATCTCACATGGTCAGATTACATGACATGATCTCACATGGTCAGATCACGTGGCATGATCTCACATGGTCAGATCACGTGGCATGATCTCACTGGGTCAGACTACATGGCATGATCTCACATGATCAAATTACGTGGCATGATCTCACATGGTCAGATTACAGTACATGGCATGACCTCACATGATCAGGTTACATGGCGTGACCCCACATGATCAGATTACATGGCATGATCTCTCATGATCAGATTACATGGCATGTTGTCACATGATCAGATTACAGTACATGGCATGATCTCACATGATCAGATTACATGGCATGACCTCACATGATCAGATTACATGGCATGACCTCACATGATCAGATTACATAGCATGATCTCACATGGTCAGATTACATGGCATGATCTCACATGATCAGATAACATGGCATGATCTCACATGATCATATTACATGGCATGAACTCACATGATAAAAGGACACGGCCTGATTTCAGAGTTACGTAATGGAATTGGATCACACGGTCACATGATACATGCCACTGTTGAAATGAATGGAGCACTCTACTGCTGTACAGCATGGCATGGCATGGCATGGCATGCTGTTGAGCATGAGCTGTTCAATCAGTGGTACTTCTGCGTGTGGCAGCGCGAGATGAAGGAAGGACAGACACGCTTCCTGCGCCGCGGGGTCCCAGCACCGGCCTCACTGTCTCTCGCATGCCTGCTCCTGCGCCGCGGGGTGCCAACACCACCCTCGCTGTCACTCACATGGCCGCTCATACGCCTCCCACTCTCCTCCCCATCACTCGCCACTGCCACAACTGCCCGGTCCACTATTGACCCTCCACCCTCACCACCACCACTGCCACTCACTCCCGCACCGCCATTCACACTCGCAACCCCACCATCTGCCCTCACCGAACCACCATCCACCTCCTCCTCGTCCTCGTCCTCGTCGCTGCTATCGCTGTCGTCGTCCCATTCCTCCAGCTGCTGTTTCTCAAACGAGTGGGGCAGCAGGTCCTTGCGCGTCAGCACGCCCACCACCTGCATGCGCTCGCGCACCACGCACAGGTGGCGCAGCCCCATTCGCCGGAAGATGGCGTACGCCTTGCGCAGGCTCATGGCCTCGCCCACCACGTGGGGGGAGGTGTTGCAGAAGGGGTGCAGATCTAAGTGCATTTCCAGCTCCTCTGCACTCAGATCGATATCCTCGATAGAAGGCGTCTTCTTAACGTTCACTATCGCCGTCGCTGTGCGGTGCTTGTGCGACAGAGATTTCGCCAGCCTCCTCCCCTCCGCATGGCCACCCTCAGCTGCGCCACGTGGCGCCTCCCCATTGGCCGCCTGCGGACTGTCCGGCACGCCCTCAAATCGCACTGTCCGCTGGTTAGCAGGCCTGGGTTCCGGGACAGCAGCAGCAGCAGCAGCGGCAGCTGCAGTGTTGCTAGAGAGAGGAAGCTTATAAAGGGGATTGGTGCGAGCAGTGCAGAGAGTACCACGCTGGAAGGCGGACTTATCCGCCAGCAGCTTGAGCAGCTTGGAGCGCAGCACCATACCGTACAGCACCGCCTGCACCTCCCCCTCCCCCTCCCCCACCTCCTTCTTCCCCTGCTCCCCCACAGAAACAATCTGCACGACAGGGAAGGCGGAGTGGGTGGTGGTCTGCAGGACTCGCAGCACCTCCCCCACGCGCTCTACGCTCTTCAGCGCTACAGCCGGCCCGCGCACGCCGTCTATAGCCGTTAAATTCTTCATGAACTCGGGCGGGGGGTATTCCAGCATGGGCAGGCGTTTTAAGTGGCTCGCCTCGTCAACCACCCCTTCGTTGAAGCAGTCCCCCACCTCCTTGGCGATCGTGGTGGCCAGCATGATCAGCGGCAGCAGGAGAAGGTTCCCGGTAACTTCCAGCAGCATGACGGAGAGGGAGACTGACATGCGCATCGAGCCGCCCAATAGGGACGCAGCGCCGAGAAGAGCATACGTCCCCTCGTCCAATCCCGTGTCGGTATCAGATTCTCCGGTAAAGAGTAGCCCGGCGGAGCGGAGGGGAGAGGTGAGGGAGGGGAGGAGGAAGGAGGAGAGTGTGGGGGCGGCGGGGGAGGTGAGTGAGCGCATGAGCTTGCCCATCATGCGGCCGTACGTACCGCCTGCTACTATGAGTGGGACGAAAAGGCCGGCCGGCACGGAGCAGCCGTTAGTGACGATGGCAAGCGAGAAGAAGACGAGGAAGAAGAGCGCGAGCGTGGGATAACTGCGGTGGGGAGGGGTGGGGGGTGGGAGGAAAGTGGGGAATGCGGGGAAGAGAAGGCAGGGGAGGGCAGCAGAAAGAGGAGAGGAGATGAGCTGCTGGCGAACGTGGCACGTGAACAGTAGAGAAGGAGGAAGTGGAAAGTGGGCGGTGATTGGAGGAGTTGAAACAGAGGAGGGAAGGGGTGGGTGGGGGTGGGCACGAGTTGGAAATGAGTTGTTCGACAGGACGCACAAATGAGGAGGAGGACACAAAGCGTCACAATGAATAAGTGGGGGTGAGGAAGGTAATGCGGTGCGGTGGGGAGGGTGATGAAGGATAGGGTGGAAGACGAAGATGGGACCACAGGATGAAAGGGAGCACGATACTTCACCTTCCACCCTCTACTGCATTCCGTGGACCACCGAACAACTATCTTGCAAGAGGAAGTATGAGGCAGGAAGCAGGTGAGATGAAAGGTTTACACAAGAGCTGTCGCCACAACAAGTGGCATCCCTCAGTGCAGCAAGCATGTGCGCTGCGCAGCGGCAGTTGCAACAGCAGGTGTGGTACAGTGACTGCTGTGCGTGAGTGCAGCACGTGTACTGAGCGGGCACGCTAGAAAAGGGATTGGTGATGGCGTTATGGATGGTGATGGCGTTATGGATGGTGATGGCGTTATGGATGGTGATGGCATTACGGTTTGTTGGTGGTCGACGGGTGCCAGCCCGGCCACTTGTGAGAATTCTCACATGTGAACTGATTCACGCACGTGCACTGGGCGGGTGAGCTGGAGAAGAGGTTGGTCATGGCGCAGGTGCCAGCCCAGACACAGAGACAGTGCAACACGCACAGCAGAATCCTCACAAGTGGCTCATACATTGAATATACTTCAGAACGCACGTGTATTGCGCAGGCGAGCTGGAGAAGAGGTTGTGACGGCGCTGTTATTGGTGGTGGGCGCTAGGCTGGCCACTTTTGAGAGTTCTCACAAATGACACACCTAGACATACAGTGCAGACACTGATTCATTTGAGAGCTCACGTGTATTGAGCAGGCGAGCTAGAGAAGAGGTTGGTGATGGCGTTGTCGTTGGTGGTGGGCGCCAGTCCAGCCATGGGGTTGTAGCTGCCCGCCGGGCAGGTGAAAGCAATGTAGTTGCCGTTCAGGCTGGGGTCCGGGCAGACCTCGTTTTCCGGGCGAAGGGGAGGGCCATGCGGGCGAGGGAGGTGAGAGTGGCGATGAGAGCTGCTTCCAGCACCTTGCACCACGGGCCATAGCTGCATTAGTGGAAGGGGAGAGTGGGGGAAGGGGGAAAGGTGGAACGGGGCGAAGGGGAAGACGATGCGGGCGAGTGACATGAGGAGAGGATGGTATTTGAGAGCTGCTCCGTGCATTCCCGTCAGCACCTTGCACCGTGGGAGGTAGCTGCATTGGTGGGAAGGAGGGGAAGGGAGGGAGGAAGCAAGGGAAGCACAGGGGAAGGCAGCATGCGGCAAGGTGGGGCGTGCATGAATGCTGCCTCTAGTACCTTGCACCATGGGCCACACCATGGGCCGCACGTATCTCCATGCGGAAGAGGGGAAAGGGGGGCGTGAGCCGTGCGCAAGAGAATAGTGAGAAGCAGTGGGAGCAGGAGTCTGCAGTTGGTCAATGGACCGCGCCATTTGTGGGGAGCACGAATTGACTCACGGGTAACGACTCACATGAGGAACGAGGGGAGAGCACGAATTGACAAGGGTGGACTCACGCGTGGGTGGACTCACGGGTTGATGTATTTGGCGCGCAGCTTGGCCAGGCGGCTCACAGCAGTGTTGAAGAGAGGAAGGGAAGGTCTGACTCACGTTGACTCACGTCGACTCACAGCTGGCTGGTCAACTCACGGGTTGATGTATTTGGCGCGCTGCTTGGCCAGGCGGCCCACAGCAGTGTTAAAGAATGCCCCTACAAGCCCCCCTGTGATGCCCAGCACCAGCACGGGCAGCAGCTCCCTCAGCCCAAAGTCGCTCTCCCTCTGATGGCATGCCATGCATGGGGTTCAGGCACACAGGGGGATGGAGATGGAGGCATTGGCTTGTGATCAGAGTTGAATCCTAACAGATGCCCAGCTCTGGCAGCAGCTCCCTCAGCCCAAAGTCGCTCTCCCTCTGATGGCATGCCATGCATGCACGGGGACGGAGGGAGATGTTTGTGAGAGCAGCTAGTGCATGGTGGCATGTGCATAGTTAAAGAGTGCGCCCACGAGCCCCCCCATGATGCCCAGCACCAGCACGGGCAGCAGCTCCCTCAGCCCAAAGTCGCTCTCCCTCTGATGCCATGCCATGCATGGGGTTCAGGCACACAGGGGGATGGAGATGGAGGCATTGGCTTGTGATCAGAGTTGACCCAAAACAGACGCCCAGCACAGGCACCGGGCACGGAACTCCCTCAGGCCGAAGTCGCTCTCCCTCTCATGCCGTGCCACGCATGGGGAAAACAAAGAGAGCTGTTTGTGGGAGCTACTAGGTGCAGGCAAAGAGGACCATTGCGACATGCGAGGGCCTTGGAGCATGCAGGAGCATTGGTCTGGGAATGTGGGTTGAATTTATGAGGGGTATGCGCCTTACTGGTGGTGTAGTATATCGTTCGATGGCTGAGTGCATTGCAGCGTAAAAATGGTGGCATGGCATATCCGCGGCGGCGTGTGCATGGTGGTGGCATGTGGCAGGTGGCATGTTGATGATGGTATGTGCATGGTGGCACGTGCATGGGGGCATGTGCATGGCGGAATGCGCATGGCGGCATGTGCACGGAAGGATGGTGGCATGTTGATGATGGTATGTGCACGGTGGTATGTGCATGGTGGTATGTGCATGGCGGCATGTGCATGGTAGCATGGTGGCATGTGCATGGTGGCATTTGCACGGTAGCATGGTGGCATGTGCATGGTGGCATCTTAGTGGGAATATAAGCGTTTTGCGGATATGCGCTTATCGTATATACGCGATCGTATATACGCTATATGCTGTTGGCCCGGGTTTGGGAATACGCTTTTTCAGGCAGAAAAAAACTTTCCGGGCAGGGTAAAAAAAACCCGGGGAGGGGGGGGGGGGGGGGGGGGGGGGGGGGGGGGGGTATGGGGCTGGGGTTTGGGGTCTGAAGTTTCAAAGTACATTTCTTCCCCACTAAATCACATATACCACGGCCTACACATAACTTTTCCCTGCTCTCTAACACTCTTACCACTACCATCACTACCAAGGTTCACTACACCATCACGACCATCACATCTCTCTAAGACTCACTAAGTACTACTCCTTAGGCCTGGCCGCCCACAGCAAGCCACATATGCCCCCACTAGTTAGCATACTCGTCTTCGAGGATGTCGTCGTCGCCTTCCTCCTCATCCTCTCCCTTCGTCTTGTCTTCCAGCCCATTGTATCCCGCCGGGATTGGAGGCTCCGCTCCAATCCCGGGCACCACATGTGGCAGGACATCGGCGCGCGTGTGCCAGTTGCGCACAACGTTCCAGTTGTGCGCAACATAGACCAAGTCCCTGCACTTGGCGGATCCGAGCCTGTTCCGACGTGCGGTGTGGACCGCATCCCACGATGACCATCCACGCTCACAAGGTGAGGCTGACACGGGCTGAGATAGCACCCGTACCGCGAGCCCTGCCACACGTGGGCCATCAGTCCCATTCCACTGCCACCACTTCACCATGCTATACTTCCCCTCTTTCACCAGCTTCCTCTGTGCCACGGCTTCCGGCATCCCAAAAGAACCCTTCATGTCAAGAAAAGCCCTCAGCCCGTCCCCCAGCTCAAGCAAGATGTTGCAAGCGTCATCCCCCCCATCCGCGCGGCTCGCAAGGAACTCGGCATACTGGCTGATTAACGTCTTGAAGACTTTCGTGCACTCGGGATCAGTGCCGAAAATATCTTCCTCCTGATTGGCGGGGTTGAGGATGCGGCCAGCGACATGCATGGCGCATGCGAGGCTGCCGTCCCAGCGGACTCTGAGGATGCGGCGGATCTGGTCCTTCTCCGCGTTGCACAACTGCTCCTCATCCTCATCGAGTAAGTCCCCCACTCCTCAGTCAACTGGAGCATCACATCGTACATCCTCCCCATCATCCCCACGGCATGCCTGTCCGTCTGCCTCATCGCCTTTTAGGGAAGCTTCAGCAAGGCGGTGAAGAATTCGGCCGTTTTCCACCAGGCGGCGTCATGGATCAGCGCAGCAAACGCGTCACATGATTTCTTCCGGTCCCCTACCGCCCACTCCTTTCACTGCTCGCTCGTCACCATGTTGGTGAGGCTGCCGCGCATCGCACACAGCCGGGATATGGCTATGTAGTTGGTCCCGAACCGGGTTCCAGCCGGCTTCAGCGCTTCCAGAACCTTCCCCTCCACCAATTCCGGCGTGCGCAGGTACCCTCGGGTCCAATGGTGGTTGCGGACGAAGCTGGTTATCTCCCCTCCCTTGTCGACCACCGACTTAGCCCACCCCATCTTCCCCACGTCTTCCAGGAGAAGATCCATCACGTGGGTGGCGCACGGCACATCCTGAATGTGCGGCCACTCCTGAATCAGTCGCTTCACCGCCACCGCGTAGTTCGATCCCCCGTCCATGCAGAACGCAACAACGTTCTCTGGCCCCACTTCCTCCACCACGGGCCTGAGAATCCCCGCCACGTAACCACCCGTTTTCTTCTCCATGTTGCAGTCAACACAGTCGTAGAAGACGGCGGCGGAATCATTCACGAGAAGGATGTTGGCCTGCGGCCTGCCCCTGCGGTTCGTCATCATGTCGGACGAAACCGTCACGCCCGTCCGCTTCCAGGTCCTCGTTTTGACGCCCACCAAACCCGCCTCGATTCCGTTGCGACATGCGACAAGGCCAGCACCGCCGACGTATTTCCTCTTGGGAGGGACGTAGTCGGCGCCGGCGCGGGAGACGTTGTTCAATGCGTTGACCATCAGAGGATGGTCAATGTGGCGCTCGGGGATGTGGAGGGCGGCCCAAGCAAGCGCAAGAGACTCGTCCGCTTCTCTCTTTCTTGCAGCCGCATCCCCCTCAAGGAAATCGGTGATTCGCGCGCGCTTCCCACTGTTAGCCTTCACCGCGGCAACCGCTTCAGCAGCAGCCCGCCTCCTTTCTTCGGCCACAGCAGCCTTTGCCTCGTAATGCGCGCGCATGGCCCGACGCACATCTTGCGGCGCATCCTTGCAAAGCACCACTTCACGGCGTTTCATCCCCTTCCACGACGCTATGTGGACATGGACGCGTCCAGCGTCCAATACGCTAGCGTTTAGACGCTAGCGTATATACGCTGGACGCTCTGATGTCCAGCCCTGGACGCTTGGGTCGGGCAAGGCAAAAAACTTTTCCGGGCAGGGGGAAAAAAAGCGGGGGGAGAGGGGGGAAATGGAGCGCCATAAGGATTCCGCCATGGAATCGCGATGGTAAACGGCACTAATGCTGGAATAAGGCGTTCCGCTTGATTGAAGGAGTTTTTTAAACGGATGCCGTAGAGGCAAATTTCGTCGGCGTAAACGCCAGTCTAGGTGAGCTAGCTGTTAGGAATAATCTAGTCGTGGGTGAGAGTGAAACCTAATCATCGACTAACTCTGGCTGGGAATGTGTCTGCCAGAGTAGTCGATCTACTTACGATTGGTTGACTTTGCTAGATTAGAAGGGGTGAAATGCGGTAGAAAGGGAAATTGCGTGGGCATTTTGTTGGATCTGGTTCTGTTTTGGCGAATTGAACCAGATCCGCATCGAAATGACATTCGCGCTGGAATTGCAAATCTCGAAATTGTCGTGCGATTTTCCTTCATCGGGCTGCCCGAAGATTTTCAGGGTGAGCGTCCAGCGTCCAGCGTACGGACGCTAGCGTATATACGCTGGACGCTCGCCGTCCAGAGCGTATATGCCCACATAGCCACGACGTGAAGTGTTGCGCGCATCGGATGGCAGCACCAGTGTAGACGTTGCTGCAGAACTTGCACTCATACTGCTGAGCTTTACCCTCGACCCTTTTGACGATGCGGAAGTGCTTGAAGACGACATGGTCAACGTCGGGGAGATACTCCCGTGCCTCGGTTAGAAGAGTATGCGAACTGCCAACGGTGTTAACTGACGGTGCCGTTGGAGGAGAGGTGGTAGTAGTCGACATAGGCACCAGGCGCTAGGGAATGCCCACTGCCCAGTGCTCTGCTGGTAGCGAGAGAAGACCTAATGAGTTGGATGTTGGGGGTGTGCGTGTTTAAAGCTGCGGCCTACATACCTCGAGTGGGACGCCTGAAATTATCACTTGAAAACAGGGTGACCAGTTTTTGAACTCGGTCCCCTTTCCTGTAAAGCTAACGGTTGAGAGGGGTGGAGAGAGGGGGTTGGGGTTCTTTCCGCCTGAAACCAAACTCCCCAGGTTGTTTCCCGCCCTTCCGCAGACCCTCCCCCAAACCACGCGTCAGCACGAAATCGGGCTGGATTCGTGTTTCCTGTCAGAGTTCGTCTGCTGCGGTGTTTCCGAAACAGACTGACTTCGTTCTCCAATCAGGCAGCACGAAAGGGTGGGCATAAAAAATACCCCCAAAAAACACCACTTAGTATGTAGACCGCCGCTTTAATAGCGAGTAGATTGGGGGAGTGGGAAGATGGGCAACAGAAGTTGGAATCGCAATTGCTTGCGAAGGTTTTGAATGCGGTACTAAGTGTGAACACCAAAATGTGAGGGAACGTGCAAGCACGACTCGACGTACGTGACTTTCCATTCGCGACACGAACTTTCAACCCACGTCCACGCTAGCACACAGCGCGGACGTGCCATTTGACCCCGCCAATGTGTTCGTCGTGCAATTCCGAAGCGAATCGTATAGGTTGAAAATTTTTGGCCGGGCTGCCCCAAAACAAATTTGGCTAGCGTATAGCGTATTCGCTAGCGTTTTGCGTATTGCGTATACACGCTAGCGTGTATACGCTAAACGCAAACAGTTGTGAGCGTATATTGCCACTAAGGGTGGCATGTGCACGGTAGCATGGTGGCATGTGCATGGTGGCATATGCATGGTGGCATGTGCACGGTAGCATGGTGGCATGTGCATGGTGGCATATGCATGGTAGCATGGTGGCATGTGCACGGTAGCATGGTGGCATGTTCCTGGTGACACATCAACAGCACACCCACGCCCTTGACGCACGCACCTGGGCATCAAAGAGAATGAAGCCCCCATCGCTGTACAGCCCACACCGCCCCCCCTGGCATGCCGCCATGAGCGATCTCAGTGCGATGGCGCCCACTGCATTCGTGAACAGTGCCTTCCACACCACCTTCTTCTTCCACCTGGTGCCCAGCAATGTGGAGAGAGGTTG